AAAAGACAAAAATGTACTACTCTCTTCTAAACTATAGTACACAGATGTAACATTTAGAGTGTACATTTCCTACAATAATTATCAAAACAGCTATCTAGATCAGAGTTTATATGTTCTGTAAAAAATTTTAATTGTAGTACATAATACAATAAAAGATATCTACATTAAAGAAAGATTAGTACTCCAGAGCTGGAGGGCAGTGGGTCTGCCACTTACCTGGGTGACTTTGAGCAAGTGGTTACACTCATCTGTGAAACGGGGACACCTGCAGAATCAGCCTCGAAGGACAGCTGGCACGGGGCCTGGCACGGGCTACTGTCCCGGTGTCAGCTGACATTAGCACAGACATTACTACACCCATTACTGCTCCCCAGACACATGTTTGGGTTCTGAAAATGTGAACTAAAATCTGGGAGGTACAAAAGCTGGGGATGTGAATAATACTTGGTCAACACCGTGGAGAAAGACACAACAGATGAGTGGCCATGCACAGAATTCACTTTTCATTCCAGGGTATAGCAGGCGGATGATGCTTCAGGAGCATTTCTGAAGTCATATGCTTCACAACATGTAATAGTGGGCATGTTTCTGAGAGTACAGTTACAAGTTAGTGAAACAGGTTTTGATTCTAGAATCAGGGCTGGTGGATTTATTGCTGGGCTGCACTCTCTTGCCTAGATTCAGAAATCAAACTAGTAGCTTCAGTTGAGATACACAATATTTAAATAGCCTAACAAATTAAGTCACTTACGGTTCTGTAGAAATATATACAGGGTCTGGCACAAATAATGCCCCCTTTTTATTACAAAATCTTTTATTATAAAATCATAAGCATGCAATTCTGTAACATAACAACATCACACTCAAGCACACCATATGACATTTTAGGTGAAATGTTCAAATTTAAACTACAAATTATTACACCCATATTATTACCCTACCGACCACACTCAAGTAAGTCTTAGTTCTGCTGGAATACACACACTTTTTTAGAAAAATAAGTTATTTTAAAAGCAATTTCAGAACCTATTTAACACATAAGAGTCAATATTAATGCCTCATTTTCAAGAAGAAATAATAACTATCTCATTTGTGATCCATTTATCCTTAGAATCTATTTTTACCTGTGTTGAAACATTTTAGAATATGTAGTCTTTGCTTAAGAAAGCTACTAAGGTAAAATTAGCTGGGGTGGTAGTTGGTGGTGGTGGAGTATTTTACAGGATCAAAAAACAACAAACAAAAAAGCAAATTAAATAACATCAAATTTGTTGAATTTCATCTTCAAACGTTTAGTAAACTTCCTTAGCTATGTAATTCTTATGTTAACATGGTGACTACCCTTTCTCAATATTTTTGTATCTACTACTAATTTATACCCAAACATTTTCTAAAGAAGATTGGAGGCATCAGTTAAAAGTATTTGAAGTGTCACTTCAAAGGCCAACATAAAACCAGAGACCCCTAGTTCTTCTTGTAAAAAATGAGTCCTTGATGAGCAAAAGGTATACAAACTCGCCTCCCAAATAATTCACCCTCCAGGGACCCACTGGGTCTAGGACTGAGTGTCGTCACCTGACGACACCCCAGGGAGCCCAGCAGGAGAGCGCACCCACCTAGGAAGGCACCCTGCATCTGGCCAGGCCTCCTCCAGATCCAACTATGAATTTTTGGGAGATACAGAGAAACACATCAAATTACATTGCAGAGACGCAATCAATAAAACCCAACTATGGAAATGCTACAGAATAACCAAATCACTTTACAAACACACTACAAGCAAAACAAACAAAAGAAACAGAGGGGGAATTTACAGGTTAAAAGACACGAAGAGACCTATTAACCAATCATAATATATGGACCTTATCTGGATCCTGATTCCAAAAAACAAAGTATCAAAGAAACTAAAATGCATGGGACAATGGGAAATTTGAATTGACTGGTCATTTGGTTATATTAAGAAATTATTGTTTTTCCAAGCTTAAAATGACCTATTTAGAATTTGCTTGAAAATAATATGATGGGGTGAGGGAGGGTGTAAGTAGCTGAGGTTAGGGATGACACAAGATTGACTAGGAGTTGATAATTGTTGAAGGTGGATACTACTATGTTTTGTGTGTGTGTGTGCGTGTGTGTGTGTGTGTGTGTGTGTGTGTGTTTGAAAGTCCTCATAATAAACTGTTGAAATAAAGACTGATATTGAAATTAGTTCACACAATCATAAAAGGCCCAGTACAAATTTAATTACTCTCAAAATAAAAAGTAAAAATGTCACCTTCTTAACCAGGAATAAAATATCACTACATATTTAGACCAAAAATAGCTGCCCTGCTGCGGAAACAATAGTGTTGAGAAAAAAACATTCTGCCTTAAGCATCATGAAAATAACTGCTTTACTCACTACGACTTGCTGCACCTGGTACTTTTCTTTATCTAGAAAATTAAGTTTATTTTAAATATACAAATTGAAGTGTGCCCTCTAACATTATTTCAGGGGAAGCAAATAAACACATTTTAATCTGTCAACAAGTTATTATTTAAAATCCTAGCATCCTGAAAATTAAATCCTTAAAAAAAAAATTCAAAGCTCTCCAGAGAATACTATGCCAAAATTTTTAACCCTGAAGGAAACAAACATGAAAACAAAAAAGGTTAAATGAAGGAAAACATTATCTAGATCAGATATTATTCTTTCAGAACAAATGAAAAGCCCAAAGAATACTCAGAGCTGAGGGACCCAGAGAGGCTTGCCAATCTAGGGGAGACCTGGACTCAAATTCCACCTCCTAGTTGCTTGCTATGAAGCAGACTTCTGAGACCCTGGGAGCCCTCACTTCCTGTTCTGTAGAAATGGGTTTCATAGCTGACACTCACAGTGACAATGAAATGAGAGTACCTGGACAAACTTGCTCCCCTGGCCCCAGGCTACCTTTCCAGCTCACTGCATCTCTTCCCTCCTGGGTTGCCTGCCCTGGAGATCCACAATCCTGCAATCAAGCTGAATCAGGTCTGTATTTTGCTTGGCTCACAGTATTAAAAAAATGTTTTTAATTAGCTACTGCCAACATTTAAAAATCCAAAGAGTCGAGTTAACAAATTTAGAATTCAGACTTTTTTATCATTTTTAAAATTTACTTTCTTATTTATTAATTTTAGAGAGGAAGGCAGAAAGAAACCTTAATATGTTGTTCTACTTATCGACGCATCATTGGTTTCTTCCTGTATGTGTCCTGACCGGGGATCAAACCCTTAACTTGACATATTGGGATGACACTCTGACCAGCTGAGCTACCCAGCCAGAACCAGAATTCTTCTTAAGAATTGCTGGGTGAGGTCTGGTTCTGCAGGGTTCCCACCCCATCTCTCTTACCACCTGGTCCTGCAGGTTGACTCCCTAGCCCACACTGGCTAAGGTCCTGCCTTCACCCTGCCCTTTCCCACTCTGCCTCTCCCATCCTGGCAAATTTCTCATGGCCCTTCGAGGTCCAACGCTGGCGCCCAGTCCTCTTCTGTGAGTCTCCAGGGCACAGCCCCTCCCCTGAAGCGGGCATCACACTGCCCTGGCACTGTGTGTGTGCACGTCTGCCTTCAAGGCTGGATTCTCAGGCTCTCCGGAGGAAGGGACCCTGTTGCTATTGTATTTCTGTCCCCAAGGTGGAGCAGAAAGCCTGACCTAAATAATGCACAATTCAGTAAATGTCTCCTGAATGTGTAAAAGGAAATTAGAGCTAAAACATTATACAAATGGAAGATTTTTTTATATCACAGCTTGTTCTGAATGTTACCAAATAAAGGGGTCAAGGACATTAAAATGTTTCACAAAATGAGAACAAGCATCCATCTGCTTCCATGTTTCACAAGTTAGTCAGGAGCCATTAAATGAGCAGATAAAGCAAAGACAAGAGGCAGGCAGGCTCATTCATTCATCCTCTAAACTGAAGTCTTGAGCACTTACTGTGTGCTTCTAGGCACCTCGCGGGGGGAGGGGGGGCGGGGGGGGGGCAGAGCATTTTGGACAAACCAGACAACTACCTGCTACATCCTAGTATGGGAGACAATATAAATAGGCAAATAAAGAGTATCAGAGTGAATGCTGGGGAAAAAATGAAACAAAATAACGATCGAACGACTAAGGGATGAAAGAGGGTGGTCGAGGAAGGCCTTGTGTTAAATGAGACTTGTGACCAGAGGAAGAGACAGAAGCAGACAGCTGCGCAAAGAACCCGGAGGCAACTGCGAGCCCCGCAGACCGCAAGTGAGAAGGTCGGAAGGTAAACAAACGGGGGCTGCGTGTTCCAGGCAGGTGAAAGGACGCGGGGCACATGGGAGCGGGGCTCCGGGCAAGGGAGCGGAGGGGAGGTGGGCAGGGCCGCTCTGGGCACTGGGTGAGCAATGACGAGGTGCAGGAGGAGCGCGAAGGCCGGGGACCCTGGGCGGGTGCGCGGGGGGGCTTCCGCCACACTCATGCCAGGTGGAGGCTGTCTCCCGCCCAGTTCTCCTCATGCGGGCACCGGCTCCCGCCCAGGCGCTTTCCCACACCTTCGTACAGCCCGACAACAGCCATATCCAAAAGGGCAGGCATTTCCCCGCTTTCCCGAGGGGGAAATCGAGGAACAGCGAGGGTCAGTGCCACGGCCAAGGTCGCGGGAACCAGACCCCCCAGTCGTGAGCATCCCAGCTTGGGGTGCCTCTGCGTGCCCAGAATCCCGAGAGGTGGCTCCCACAGAACCCTGCAGGTCCGCGCGGCCAAGCCAGGCCAGGGAGCGGGCCCGCGGCCCGGGACTGCTGCCCGCCGGCGGGCGGGGGCGCCTGCGGCAGCCCTGAAGGCAGGGGCGTCGGCCCGGCCGCCCGCGCCCCCGAAGCCCGGTGCCCGCAGAGCCCAGTCCCCAGGCGCGACACCCTCGGCACCGCGGCCGCGCGGCCCTCCCACCGCCCCTCCCCGGCGGGGCGGGGCGCTGCCCGAGCGGCCCCCGCCGGGCCTAGTTCGCTGCCGGGCTCACCTCGCCTCCAGCCGCTGCACCAGAGGAAAGGGAGGGAGGGCGGACTGGCGGCGCTGGCGGCTCCTGCCGGGAGCTCGGCCGGCCGCCCCGCCCGCTCCGCCCCGCTGCCGCCGCAGCTCCCGCCGCCGCAGTGGGTGTGAGGGGCGCCGGGGCGCTTCGACCCTTCCGGTCCGGCTCCCTTCGCCGCCGCCGCCGCCGCGGTTCCCAGCCTGAGCGATCTGAATGCCGACCAATCAGCGCGCAGGAATCCGGCCTGGCGCGGCCAATAGCACCTGGGGGCGGGCCGCGACGGAGCAGCGGGCGGAGCCTTGGACTAGGTGCGGGTTGGGAGGCCGCGGGCACTGCTTGGAGCTCCCGCTGGATTAGCGGTGCCCCACGGGTCCCGCGGCGCGGCTGCCGGATGCGGAGCTGGCGGAGGGGCGGGCCGATAGGATGGACAGAGGGACCTCGAGGCTGCAGGTGCAAACTGGCAGCGGCGAGGCGGCCTAGACGGGGGCGGAGCCGGCCCGTTGTAGGGGAGAGACGGGAGTCTCGCAGCCCGGGACCCGGGCTAGCGCTGGTCCCCGGGAGGCGGAGGCTGGGCGGCGAGGGAGTGGGGAGCAGAGGTGGGGCCTGGGACTCCGCTGCTCGCCAGAATGGGAGTGTAGGAGTGCTGCCAGAAGTCGGGGAAGGGAAGGGGTTGCCAAGGAAATGGTCCTGTGCAGACGAATGTCCCCTCTCGGCCGGTGGCAGAGGGGAGGAGATGACAAGCTGGTGTGCTGCGACAAAGTCAAACCAGTCCCAGACAAGGACGGGGTCGTAACTGGGGGGAAGGGAGTGCAATACCGAGGGCCCCCTAGGATCTGGGGTCGGTTGACATTGACCTTTTGAGGCACATCCCGCAGCCCTCCGGCCCCTCGGTCAGGTTCCAGCAGGCCTAGGGTCGTCTGAAATTGGGGAGAAGCCAGGGTGGTAGGTGTTGCCTGATCGTTTGGATAAGCACCGAAGGAAGAGAGGCTAGGAGGCTGGACACATAGCGGGGGGCAGGGAGCGGAGAAGTCCTTGAATGGGGAAGAGGGATGTGGGGCAGGAGCAGCTGTCACAGGGAGCCTGGGCCTGCAGGCTGGCCAGGGTGGCAGCCAAATGGGGGAAAGGGGCAGGACCCTGCTTACGGGGAGGTCAGAGGGCAGGAGAGTATGGAAGGTAGCGGCAAAATTTGGGGAGGGCGGCAAACCAGTGACCCAGAGCCAGGCGGTGGGGTTCCAGAGCTTCAGCTGAGGGGTGGGGTGGAGGAAGGGCTCCAGCGTGCTGTCCCTCTTAGACTACCGGCCTCCGGGCCACCGTGGCCACCAGAGGGAGTTTCCTGAAATTGAGTGTGGCCTCCTTCCTGCTTGAAATTGTAGTTCCTGAGTGTGGCCACTTGGTGGCCTCCTGCCCATACCAGTCCTCCCCTCAGTCTCGCCTGCCACCTGCTCCAGGTACACAACAGAAAACAAGGAAGCAAAATTTCACCATCAAGGCTTATGAGTAACTCATGAAGTCTGGCTGTCAGGGGTGTGGTTTTACCAGGGAGCACACCCATTCCCAGATGTACTCCAGCCCTGAGCTTACAGCACTCACCCCATGCAGAGTGAGCACCAAAAATCATTACTCACACACCCACACACCACCCCCCCCCCCCCGCTGTACCTATCTCATGTTGAGTTTTCTGAAAGGATTCCATTTTTTTTGTTTGACTCATGAAATGCAGTGAACAGAACTGAGGTGAAAAGATGGGCCCCGGTCCGTGGTTGGAAGAGTGCACACAATTCTGTCTGAGTCTGACAAGTGAGCGGATCCTGTTGCAACTGTCATGTGAATTATGAGGAGGACACGTGAGCACTACTGACAGCCAAGCTCACCTGCTAGGTGAGGAGAAGCAGCTGAGGAGGCCTCAGGCAGGAGGAAGCCCCAGCTGAAGCTGGAAAGCCGACAGGAGAATGCTGGGCCAGTAGTTTAGGTGGGGAGGGCACTCAGACTCAAAGGTTCAGAAGTGAGGACCTGCGTGCTGTGTTTGGGGACCACGCATCATCTGGTCTTGCTGGAGATGGGAGAGTTATGAGGACCTGGAGTGGGGTGGACGGCACTGAGCTGGCTTTAGCTCCCTGATAGGCCTTGTTTAGCCCAGATAGTTTTTTACTTGCCAACTCTTAAAAATTGGGAGCTGTCACCTGAAAAGTCTCAATTTTTTTTTCACTTGCATAGTTAGAATGGAACATGGGGCCTACATCCCCAGAGGGCAGTGGTCAGCTGGAACTCAGTGGCTGCTGCCCTTGAGAAGCTCCCAGCTCACCACAGTCCCCATCATTCCTTATTACGTACCCCTAGCTACAACTTGACTCATCACCTACCTGCTGGCCCTTGGGGGCCCTGGCTGTGGAGGTAAAGGACAGCTGTTGAGCAGTGTTAAGAAAGGAAGTGAGTGATGTGGGTTATTTTGGAAAGATTACTATGACACATGAAGTTACGGGTATAAGGAGCACACAACACCAGTTAGGGAGCTATTGCTATGGCACTTGTCAGACAAGGTGAGGCCGTGACAGCAGGTGTCAAGAGGAAGGAACTGATTTTAAAATGATTTCAAGACTTTAGGGAAATGCAAATCAAAATCACAGTGAGTGACACTATGTGACCACTAGTATGGCTGTAATAAAAAAGACAGATGTTATCAAGTGGTGGTGATGCAGAACCCTTGAAAGTCTCATACACTGTTGGTGGGAAAGCAAAATGGTATATCCACTTTGAAAAACTGTGGCAGTTTCATAATGTTAAACATACACCAGTTATACCACCCAGCTATCCTATGCCTGGGTGTGTACCTGAGAGAAAAGTGTCTGTGCAAAGAGTTATATGTGAATGTTCATAGCAGCTTTATTTAAAATAGTCAAAAACTAGAAATGACCTGTACATCCATAATCTAGTGAGTGGATGAACTGTGGTACAGCTGTCCAGTGGGCTGTTACCTAGCAACATGAAACACAGGCCTGCTGACAAGAATACAAATGGATAAGTAGCAGAAACATCATGCTAAGTGAAAGCAGCCAACATAAGGCTGCATAGTCTGTGAGTCCACTTATTTCTATGATGCTCTGGAAAAGCAAAATCAGATCAATGGTTGCCAAAAGTCAAGTGAGGGGAGGGAAATGACTAGCAGGGGCCACATGGGAGTTTTCTGGGATGATGAGTGTGCTCTATATTCTAATTATAATGGTGGTAATACTTAGTTGTCAAAACTCAGTATTGTATACCTAAAAGGGTGACTTTTAATGCATGTAAATTATACTAAAATGATGTAAAGAAAAAGTCTGTTTTAGAGGTGGAATTGTCAAGTGTTTGAGGTAGGGTGAGGGAGGAGGTGGGTGAGGAAGGGTGTCATGCCCCCTGGCTTCATTTCCAGAGTGGGAGCTCCGCCCTTGGCCTGCTCACCCTCCTTCCCAGGTGAAGACTCTGTCAAGCCTGCATCCCAGCTGCCTACCCACCTCCCCCTTTCCCATCACCTTCAGCCCTGTGGTCCTGGCTGTGTACCCTTTGGGATGAGGGCCACCAGCTCTTTCCTCCTCCTGATACCTCACTGTCTCTCCCCTGCCCTTGACTTGGCTCCTCAATTGCCCAGTGTCAGACACTGCCCACCTCCCCACTCACATGGGTGTCCACCAGGGAGAAGAGAGTGCGGGGCAAAGGAAGGGCCCTATCTTGACTCTAGGGGAAGGGAGCACCAGGGCACCGGGGCTGATAGGTGTCCAAGGCTCCAGTCTCATCATCGCCCTGACCTGGCCTGGGTTCCCATGGAGCTTTCCACTCAGTTGTGCTCTTCTGGGCAAGGCATTTGCCTCTCCCAGACTTGGCTTTGTGGGCAGTGGTCTCAGCCTGAGGGGATGCTGCAAGGGCTCCAGGGGAGGCACAGATCATGTATACAGTGGGGTGCCTTCCTGCTGGCCTTCTCCAGCCCCTTCCCCCTCAAGTCATGATTGTCAGTTATGTTATAGAAGGGGCCACACTGCACTTAGACCAATGGGGACAATAACTGAGAGGTTCCTTGCATAGGATGGAGTGGGGTAGGGTGGGGTCAGGGGTGGAGCTGGCCTCAGGACTGCAGGCTAGAGGACCAGGCTGGGGCCTTGGAAGTCACTGGCAAAATATCTGTGACGTCCCACTCTTCTATGTGTTGTCTTCCTTCGCCCTCTGTCTTCAGCTCTTCTGCCACCCAAGGGGGTTGGGCCCCACTGTCCCAAATTTCATTTGAAAACCCCTAGAGGAGGGCTCCTGTGGCTCTCCTGGGCAGGGCTCCCATTCCTGGGCCTGGCAGTCAGGCTCAGGTGAGGATGTGGCATGAGAAAGGGCAGAAACAGTTGGGAAAGGCAGAAGTCTCGGGGTTATTCTTTGTGATAAAAAAGGATGTCCAGACATTTATGAGAAACCTGGACATTGCAGTGGCTTTTTTTCAGGTGGCTGAGAAGGTAGTGGACATTCAGACTGAACTGAACGTGCTCACCATCCTTCAAAATAAGGAGAGGGTCAGGTTGGAGAAACTGGCAAAAAGAAGCTACCACGACTCTGCAAGAATCTCAGTCTGGGTTGTAAGACGCCCATGGAGGCCATCAAGGGCACCGGCATGGGCAAGTCATGTCCCTCGCTAGTCTGAGGGCACGCCCTGTCTGGTGTGGTGACCACAGGAAGATGCAGAAGACCATGGTCACCTGCCAAGACGACTTCCACTGCATCCAAAAGTACAACCACTTTAAGAAGTGCCACAAGAACATGTCAGTCCACCTGCCTCAGAGATGCCCAGATCGGTGACATGGTCACAGTGGGTGCATGCCAGCCCCTGAGCCTAACCATGTGCATCAACATGCCCAAGGTCACCAGGGTGGCTGGCACCGAGAGGCAACTCCAGGAGTGCTGAGACTGGATACCTGCCCATGCCCCAGACAAAGCACAGTCATTTTCCCAGTCAAAAAGAGGGGGAAAGAGAGAGTGAGTCTGAACCAGGGGCACAGCCTAGGGCCTGGGGCCGGCAGTGGGGCGGTCCTATGGCTGAATGCTGCCCACAGTGGCTCTCAGCCCCTCCTCCAGGCAGCTCACGGAGCACCAGCCCTGGGCCCTTGCTCTTCTCTGGAAGTCAGACCAGCCTTAAAACCTACAGGAAAGTCCTGTTTCTCCCTGCCCCAACCCTCAAAAAAACCCTAGGCTCTCCCAGATTGCCCAGC